TGCTGCCATCCCAAAATATCCTCTGACACACTTGGCTCTCATTAAAGACACACCACCCACAGATGGGCCGCTTTCTCAGTCATGTGCTGCACTCGCGTCTCTAATAGCTCCTCTGATTGTTATTATTATCATGCATCATCTGTTTTTTATTAGTTACAAATGTGTTATAGGAGCTGATGAGAATGCTGGCTCACTCATTTGGTCTGTTGGCTAATTGGCATGTTGGTTCAAACAAAATGTTTCACTAGCTAAGGCTATTCTATATATTCGTGATCCACAGAGGAGGAGGAGTCGTGATCTTTGGGATTAACGTTCTTGGCAAATTTGACATAACATTAGGTACTAAATACATATCCCCCCATGAGGGTAATTTGGAGTAACTTTGGTGATCTGCAGACCCTCTCTGTCCCACCTTCCTGTCTGTGTGGCAGCTTTTCTTGTAGGTACTAAGTGGAGGCATCACAGCCAACACCTGGGCCTGGTGTGCTGGTCCTCTTTCAAAGCACTCCACTGGAGCTTTGAAAGAGGCTCCAGTGGAGTGCATTTGGTTCATGGCATTCAGAACTTCTCATCTCACATATTCACCTACACTACTGAGCCCACTAATAATACTTTATGTGGTATTTTTCTTTGTTTGTTATGATTTTGAATTATGATCAAGTTCTTCTTATGATCAAGAAGTGTCACATTTTGGTAGTTTGCTAGAAATATAGACTGCCTATTTAGCCATATGTTTAGTCGCTAAATGACATTGCTAGAGAGGTGGTACTCAGTACTAGTAAATACAATGTTATAAATAAGCTGCTAAAAGGAAAATAATTTAATTGAAAGTTTTAGTTAAGTAAATGCATAAAGTATTAGAAAACATAAATATCAAAAATAAAGTCAACTAAAATCTTATCTACTGTATAGTTTTCCATTATTATTTATTTATTATCATGTGCTAGCATGTTAAACATAATCTATAAAGTACTTGCTCAACTTGTTATACAAAAAAAAAGTATATTATTTACCTGAGATTGTAAATACTCTAAGTATCTCAAAGTGTTACTAAACAGTATTTGAGTAAATATAGTTACTTTCACTTTGAATATTTAAAAATTCTGGTTTTGGGGTAGTATGATTTTTTTTTTTTTTAAGTCAAAGTCTTTAAAGCCTCTAAAAAATCCAAATGGATAAGATATCGAAAAACTCTCGATGTTGTTGTTATGAAGAGGATTTAGCTATAGAGAAACAAACTATTTTTGTACTAGGGTGTAATTTTCACAGCAGCTAACATCAGAGTCTGTGGGGAATGGCTTGCCTTCAGAGTCTGCCTCAAGTGGCCGTTAGAAGAACTGCAGTTTTTGGCACTTGTCACGTGTCAGCCATGCTGTTTCCCATTTAGTACCTCACATTTTCTGGAACGTGCAAATCCTCAAGCAAGTTTGATCCCAGCTTTAGTCGCTCATTTCATCTCTAATTTCTCCTGTAAGTAGTTGATTATGACTTGTTTCCAATATGTCAAGTTTTCTCCAAGACTAAATTAAGCCTATCACCGAGACCAAGAAAAGACGGATACTCGCTGAATTCTTTTGCATGATTGAATTCCCAGGGCATTTTTAAGGAATAGAAAAGAGAAACCGATACTCAATCCAAGGAAAAAAGGCAGAAAGTTTTTGAGGCATCTGAGAAAATGAATGAGCCTGAGTAAATAAGTTCAGTCTGGGAAGCAGACGCAGGATGCCAGACGACAACAAGACGCTCGTAATTCCTCTGCGCCATAACCAATATTTGGCACAATCCTGCATGTCGGTACCTGCTGCATCAACTTACAGTCACTCCATCCACACTATAGGTTTATTTCATCTTATACAACGGGAGAGGACTGTGTGCATTCATTAAGTCAGTTGGCTTAACAGAGAGTCATTCTCACTCAACTATAAATACTATTTAAAAATGTTTGGTTTGCATTTCAGGATGACAACTGAGCGTGATGAGGAAACTGTATGTCAGCCATGTGCCTCTAAGTATAAGCCTGCTCTTATAATAACCGTCTCCCACTTACACAGCAGCTGCCTGATTATTCTGCACGTGCTTATTAGTATTAATGATTCTTACAGGTGGATTGATATTTTGTGTTCTCAGACACAACACAGAGAATTAACCGGGCCTCCATTTTTATCTCCATATAAATGAATGACATAAAAATGACACTAAAAGCCAAATAAAGGCATATCAAGACATAGATAGTGTGCTTTGACAGAGGACCTAAGTGAGATACCACAGCTCCGATGGCTGATACTTTAAAAATATCAAAAAGGAACAGAAAACATAAAGAATAACAAAAGGCTGAGGAGGAGATAGGACTGGATGTATACAGAGGTCTGACTGAGAAACAAGAAACAAGACGCAGGAGGATTCAATCAGGAAATCAGAGGTGGGAAAAATAGAGCAACAGAAGACACCAAAATAAAACAGGAAGCGTGCCTGTGAAATGCATCTAATATTCAAAGCTGTCTCATTTCCAAACATGCATCAGGAAGAGAGCAGGGCCTTGCTGTATGCACCACCTTTTTTATATGCTGAAGTTCAACACATCTTCACAAAAGATACGCCAAGGTTGTAAAAATATTATAACTCACTCCACCTGTCAGCGCTTTTTAATGTTGTGATCTGTGGACGTGGAGAGCACGTTTTTCTCAGTTCACGGTAAGTAAACTGTGTCCATATCACCCCTGCTCACTTCAAGTTAAAGCTGACTCTTCTCACAACAAAGATTACCAGCTTTTGTCTGTTCAAGTTCGGCCTTTTGTTCCAGCACCATTACTCAAAGATGACGACATACGGAGCTTCTCTCGTCCCGCCTTTGTCCGCGGCTGGGCTTTGCAAAGGTTGCACTTCTGGTGTGGACATTAGCTAGGCCACAGGAAAGGCTTTGGAGCTGTCGATTCTGGCCCCGTCAGCTGGTGGGATTTAACTAAACACTCATTCAGCAAATGTGAATGAAGCTCGGCTAAGGCTGTCAGGTCTGCAAACAGAGTTAAAAGTGAAGATTAACCTACACAGGGGTATGACAACGTGAAAGCTGAATTATTGTTGTTTTACTGCGCAAGAGTGAATGAAGGAAATGTGCTGGATATCCCTATAGCAAATAAACTAAATCAAGTCTTCTTTTTTTTCAACAGACTTCCTGAAGCTTAAGTTAGATTTAAGAGATTTTAACACTCTGGATTTACTTTAAGACTAGAACTAAAGAAAAAAAACAACATGACTTACTTTGTGTTAATATGTTTGTGTTGTTTGAGCTTCTTGTGAAACATTGAAACAAATGCATCATTTTTAGCACTCGGATACACAGCCCATCCCACCTTCTATTTCGTTACCTGCATGCTGATCAGGCTGGTATTGTATTCCAGCTCCAGTGTGTTGGACTGCAGTTGGCAGCGGTACATATTGTTGGGTGAGATCTGCTGCTGGCTGCAGGGCCACATCAACCAGGACATGCAGCAGGTGGAGAACTGAGCAGAGCGAGGAGAAAGCTGCAGTCCAAGACATCTGCCTTGTCAGAGACGTAGCTGAATGGCATAGAGGACTGCACATCAGCCACTTCGGAGCTCAAATGCAGTCTCAAGAACTCAAAAGCTAAAAAACATAATGGTTGGCATGAATGCGCTGAATGTCCCCAACATCTAGTTAGCAAACACCCTCTCTATGACACATAATACATGTGATGTGTTTAACTTGAATATTGCCAAAGCTTTAACCGTAGATACCGCTGCTGAATATTGTATGGTAAACTAAAATCAAAATAAAAACAATGACACAAAGTGTCTCCTTCTCTCCTTCATGTGTGTCCTTCTCTCCTCTGATGCTTTGCAGGTGGAGGCAGGTTCCTAAAGCCAGAAAGAAAAACAAGGAGGAGGTCAGACATCAGGACTTTGTCTCAAAAAAATTCTCGAAAGAAATTCAGAAGTTTCTTAACTAATCTTAAGAAAATGATAACTAACATTTTTGTTTTCAGTTAATCTCAGTAGCTGCTGAGGTGCACATGTGTGAGACCTTTGACATTTTAATATATTACCCCAATAATGAAATCCCTTCTTTGTCTCCCAGTTTAGCATATTTTCCTTTAAAGCAAGCAACTGTTTGCGCGATGTTTTTTCCAAACACATTTAAAGACACTTCGTTAACCTCCTTAACTTAGTTTTCTCTCTTTCCTTCCTCTTTTTTTATTTGACTGCATTTTCCTTTTGTCTTATTAACAGCTTATGGGCCATCTGTTAAGGACTTTTAACTGCAAATAACCTGTATGGATCTAATTTGAGCAAGTAGTGGCACTTTTGTAAAAACATTTTACTAACCACAGGTTTTATCAGATTTAGATGCAAAGCAGATGCACATTTTCCTCAGTAATACTTTGTATTTTTCATATATGTTTGCCTGTTTGCTTGTCTTTACCCTGCTTTTAATATATTTTGTATGCCTGTGAGGACCTTTGAACCATTACAGATGATACTGGGCTATACAAATAACATTCCCTGAAAGTAATGCATCATGCCCCAGAGCCTCACTGCATTACAGTCCAGTTAATGTTACCCAGTCACTGATTTCTGTGTTTTTCTTTACGTAAACAAAGACATGAGGTTCATGCTATAGCATAAACTGGTGCAGGAAATCCACCAGACTGCAGGGAGTTAAGTGTTCCTGTTCACTGTGCATCCCCAAAACGCAAAGAAAACCAACATCCATGCTTTTTCTAAAAAAGAACAACTTTAGAAGAATAATAAGAATAATTTAAAAATATGGCCTTTTAATTAATTGCTCTTTTGATATTCTGTAGTGTTCGTTCTGCTATGCCTCCAATGCATCTGAAGCGTTTGCTGTGGAGTGTTTACAGGGTTGAAGCAGGCGGAGTCCGGATCCACTCATCCCCGGAACTCCACTCCGGGACTTCCCACATGCTTCTTTTTAAAAACCACCTCTTTTACTTCGTAACAGTGAAAAACACACCAGCATTAGGGCAGCAGATGACCCGGCGCAGCGGCGAGGAGCACAACAAATGAAAGGATGGGGGGCACCAGCGGCAGCAGCAGCTGAGTTCAGTCAAACTGGATCGGGGGCCGAGGGGGCACAGCAACTTTCTTCTCACTCCTGGGTGACTTTTCTTGGATTTATTTCCCGCTCCACAACAATATGCCATTTGCCAAAAGAATAGTGGAACCCCAGTTACTGTGCAGGTATCAAGTCCCAAACGAGGAGGGTCTGGTTTTCGAGGATCTGGTCTCCATCAGTAATGTGGCTCTATCTCGGACCTTGCGGCAGCTGTCGGACCTGGCCAAACATGCCTACTCCATATTCCAGGAGCTGGAAAACGAGCTCACAACCACCAACCAGCGGGTCCGGGGGCTCCAGGGCAGGATCGGCCAACTTCAACAGACCTGCTCCGAGCTGGACCCCAAACAGGAGGCAGTGCGTGAGTACCGACCCGCTCTGAGTATCTGCTTATACCCGAGCTGCCTGCGAGCGCGCGGCTCTCGGAGACAGCTGCACGAGGAGGCACCGTTTTTATTTTCCATCAGTGACGTTTATTCCAAAAAATGACGCAGATTTAAATAAAAGTTGTGTTATTGCTGCTACAGTAGCTCAAAACCAGCCCAAACTGTAACAAAGTGGCTCAAAGGTCATTTAATAACTTTATTTTTTATATATTTTCCAGAGAGACCTGTGCTGTCTTCCCACGCCGATGGGTGTGTGACAGTTTGGCTGTCCCAGCCTCAAACCAGCCACTTAAATCCGTCTATTAATGTGCTATAACTCCCCCCAGCAATGACTTATATATATATATAAAACCACTTAAATTTGCTATGATTAAAGAGAACATGTGTGCATCAATGAAAGAGGAGATTTGAATTTTTTAAAAATGATACCACTATTAATGAGCTCAAACTTATGCATGAATGTAGAGAATTTTGACCTTCTACCAAAAGAAAATAAAAAGGTTTTTAATCTGTATTTTGTCGGGCTTAATTTAACCCATTTTACCATAATGTTTCTTTCTTAAAGAGCTAAAAGAGTCCTGGTAACTAAGGCAACAGGTGTGCTTTAACTACTATAGACTAGTCCTGCTTACCTGTGCAGTCATCCCTCGTTTTGAGCAGGAAAAATTCAGTTTGATCATTTTTGGTCATCTCCCCTTTCAAGACCATCAGAATCATGGCAGTCTTGGTGTATGTTACATGGAGGATATGGAGCTGTGATATGTGAGGAAAAGGCTCATCCCTCTGTCACTCATTCCTTTTAAAGTTATTTGCCATAATACCGATATGAGGAAGTTTGAGGATTATGATGCCCCTGTCTCTGGCCCTTTCACTTTCACCCATGTGTGATCAAGCTCCAACATAATTCACTTTAACCGTGAATGAATTAAAGAAGCAAGCAGGTCTTTTTTCCTCCGTCCTCACTACGGTAACCTTCTGACAAGTAAAAGCTCCGGTGAGTGTCGGTGTGGGCTGCTGTTATTTGTAAAAACAGAAAGACTTCTTGCCCTGAGCTGACTTCTTGGCGTGTTAAGATTAAACATGTTATTCACACTTGCCCTTCTTCATATGTAAAACGTTGCTTGGCCACCAGAAAGCATTCATTAGCCTGATAACACAGCATGTGGCCATCCCCTGGATCCTTTAATCTCCCTTCCCTGAGTGACTCGGGGTGATGTGTTTTGATAAGTGTGTGTGTGTGTGTGTATGTGTGTGTGTTTAAAATGACACCCCTCTCAAGTAAGCACTTAGAGAACCTGCATACCCCTCTCTCTTCTGTCCACATCCCACAATTATCCATCCCCAGAACAGTTTCTGCAGCCTGGATATACCCCAGTGCATTTACCCCCCCTCTTTTAGTTTACGTTCAGCAAGTCCTCGCATGTTCCCCATGCAGAACCTGCTTCCTGAGGTCTGTGAATGGGTTACTTTGCCTTAAGGTATTTATGTGCAGGATGGATATCTGCTGACCCCTCTTAAACTCAATATAAACTTTAAGATTTCTTCGGAGATTTCTTTTAATCAACAGATGTGTGTAGTTTTTTGTGGCTTGTTTTGTAGGATTCAGTCACAATAAGCCGCACATGATCAGTAGGAGTCTCTCGTTCATGGGTTATCTTGAAGCTGTAAGTCAAAGGCAACGGTGATGGTAGCTACCCCTTTCAAGTGATCGCAATCCTCTCTTAATTCAAGCTGCTTCTATCCCCATTTTAAACATTTACTGTTGTTACATACAAGTAATACATGCAAGTAATATTACTGGATGAAAGGCCACAACAGATTTTGCATGCTGTGTTTCTAGCTAACCCCCTTCCCTAGAAAAGCCTAATTGCTCTTAATTATGCTTTTCATATTAATGTGTGTCACGGGTAGCCATAAACAGCAGTACCCTGCCCTATCTGAATGACAATTGGTGTAAATGGAGCACAGATAGCGCAGTAGGCACTGCGAGGGGGGGTGGGGTGGCTTTCGTGATGTGGCTGTGACTTGACCACAGGACGACTGCTGGAGGTGGAGGACGCAATGTAGATTCATTCGCCAATAGTGAATCATGCAGGATCAGATGCTAACCTGTTGGTAAGGTATTGCTCTGCTGTGCCACGTTAGCAGCCTGCTGCTTTAATATTGCAGCTCGCTGTGGTAATATTTGCATGCAGGCATGTTTTTAAATCCAGGCTGAGATGCTGACACATTTGGGTCAAACGAGTCCTTTTTTGCTGGGAATGCTGTGCATCTCTTTCACTTTTACTTTGATTGCTTTGATTCTTTATCAGCTACACCAGCTGTATAGGTGCTGTACTGTACTTTACACTTTAGCAAATCTGTCTTTAAACACTGAAATTGATGCTTTCACTCTCATTGATTTCTTGTGCATTGCCTCTGTAAAGTAAAAATCTGTCATTTCTTTTTGGTATTCTTTCTTGGACACACGCAAACACATACAAGTCATATAAGTCCTGTGTTTGAACAGTTCTCCTGTGACACCCCATCAGTGAGCTGAACTGCCATCAGAGCTCCTCCGTGTAGTCTCATGTTAGAGGACTCTGCTAGGTTTTAGGTTACACTGGCTCAGTACGAATGAAGCGCTGTAATAGTTGTGGCGGCAAGTGGCCCTCTGGCTTTTCTGGTCCAAGAGCGCATGGCTGGCAGTTCACCACATTCCTTGTACAAACCACGCCAGAGACTGCAGAAGAATAAATCCAGAATAAAGGAGGAACAGAGCAGACTCAGAGCAGCACAGAGACAAACTGAGCAGAACTCCAGCACGAGATCTGAACTCCCTAAATCCACTGCAAGACCTTCGTGTGCAAACTGTGTGCAGAGTCTTACCTGATAATCTTGTGACTGCAGTTGAAAGTGATAAGACTTGTTACTGGTTGTAGTATTACAACATAAACCTTCAGTAACGCCGTAAAATGCTGACGAAAGGCTTCAAACAACAGAAGTAATACCAATGAGCTGGCGTTAGTTCACATCGGATCATAAGCTCTATAAAGAGATATCGGCATATGAATATAGAGCGTCTGTCGGGAAGGGACAGATTTTTACTACTGGAAGCTGTCTGGTTTTAATTTGTAGCTTCAGCTGCTTGCAAGCAAACCGTTTTTGCTAAGAGCAAAGGAGGGACTGCGTGATTTCTGCCAAGTTGTTAAACCTGGATGCTGTGACAGTCGTGGGGGTGGTTGTTGAGTACAATTTAATGATGCATTGGATTTGTGTAGAGCAATCTACCCGTTATAGCTCTAATTCTTAATTGTGCATTTAGCACTGTTATGGCACAGACCAAACATATGTGCACCTCTGCACACAGTCATGGAAACCCATGCAGTGAAGCTCCCAGTGCACAGTTTTTGTACAGATGTTCATGTGAGAGGAGGTTTGGAACTCCTCAGTTCACGTCACAATTATACCATTAAAGAGTTGATCTTGGAATATCTAGAAGGGAAGAAATTTCACTAACTGACTTGTTGCATTGGTGGAATACTGTTATACCTGACGTATGTTTCACTAGTAATGACTTAACCTGATGTGCATCTGTGAAATGTAACTACACATTAGGTTGCAACTATTTTGACTGGCCTGAGCAGCGGCATTGCTTCCTGCTGTGCATTTTTGGCAGTGTTTGAATTTATGAGTCATTGTCTCGATATAAGAAATAACAATCTTAGCACCAATGCAGGGATTCACAAATGTCAACAAATTCCTAAAGGGAAATTGGTTAAACTGTTAGAATGGACGTGAAGGAATGTACAAAGAAGTGGAAAAACTAGAGGGACGAGTATGTTTACCTCTGGGAAAAACTGTCAACAACAAAGAATGGAGACCCAGGAGGGGGAAAAGTCCTAGCATTTTATTTTTGTCAAGTTGGATGGCACTTCATATAAAACACCGGGGCATGACCATACAGTAATTAACATGTACTGCACCAGCATGAGCATAAATGCCTATTTCCCACTTACGTATGGTTACGTCATATTCTATTCAAAGATTCTCTGCACAAGTCTAAATCAGGCCTAACCACTGCACTGTTGACTTCAGTGAGCTCTTTAGAATGAGCCATTCTTTTACAGATGTTTGTAAAGGCACCTGTTGGGTGTAGAAATGGGACTGAAAACACCTGAATTCAAAGATTATGAGGTATGACCAATAGTTTTGTCAACATACAGCACCGAAAGCAGCGAATATCACTTGACCTCATTCACTTTACTGGACATCAGTGGAACTAGAAATACACTATTCGGTTGTAACGTTTCCCTGGTTCTTGATTTTATGTTTTCAACTGCCGTGATGCTTTTAAAGATCTTTTTATTTAGGTAAAAACTAGAAACTGTAGCCTAAAACGATACATTAGCTAACAGTTAATGGTTTTAGCTTTGGTATTAACAAAAAAACATGGAGCTTGACACTTTAGACTGGCAGGAGTCAACCAACGACTTAAAAACTCTGACAGAAAAACCTGAACTGTCATCTAACGATTTGGCCTTTTTTTGGCTTTTTTATGTATACGTATATTGGCATTCATGAAAAATAGTAGGGGGCGTGATATAATGATAGTAATGATGGATTGCATTTATATAGCACTTTTCAGGACCCCTCAAAGCGCTTTACAATACCACTATTCAT